CAAACAAGTGAAAGACCTGTATAACAAGAACTTTGAGTCTTTAAAGAAAGAATTTAAAGAAGATACCAGAAAATGGAAAGATCTCCCATGCCCTTGGATAGGTAGGATCAACATGATAAAAATCACAATCTTACCAAAAGCAATCTACAGATTCAGTGCAATCCCTATCAAAATACCAGCACAATTTTTCACAGACCTCGAAATGACAATCCTCAACTTTATATGGAAAAACAAAAAACCCAGGATAGTCAAAACAACCCTGTCCAATAAAGGAACTTCAGGAGGCATCACCATCCCTGACTTCAAGCTCTATTATAGAGCTGTAGTCCTGAAAACAGCTTGGTATTGGCACAAAAACAGACAGGTAGACCCACAGAATTGAATCGAAGACCATAATGTCAACCCACACACCCTTGAACACCTGATATTTTACATAGAAGCTAAACCTATGCAATGGAAAAAAGAAAGCATCTTCAACAAATGGTGCTGGAGTAACTGGATATTGGCACGTAAAAGACAGCAGATAGATCCATATCTATCACCATGCACAAAATTTAAATCCAAATGGATTAAAGACCTCAACATCAATCCAGCCACCCTGAACCTCTTAGAAGAGAAAGTGGGAGCTACTCTTGAACAAATTGGTACAGGAGACCACTTCCTGAACAGGAAACCAGTAGTACAGACACTGAGATCGACAATTAATAAATGGGGCCTCCTGAAACTGAGAAGCTTCTGCAAGGCACAGGACACAGTCAACAAGACAAAACAACAGCCCACAGAATGTGAAAAGATCCTCACCTACCCCACATCTGACAGAGGGCTGATTTCCAAAATTTACAAAGAACTCAAGAAGCAAGTCTCCAAAACACCAAAGGATCCAATTAAAAAGTGGGGTACAGAACTAAATAGAGAATTCTCAATAGAGGTATCTAAAATGGCCAAGAGCTACTTGAGAATGTGCTCAACATTCTTAGCCATCAGGGAAATGCAAATCAAAAGAACTCTGTGATACCATCTCACTCCTGTCAGAATGGCTAAAATCAAAAACTCTAATGACAGTTTATGCTGGAGAGGATGTGGAGAAAGGGGAACACTCCTCCACTGCTGGTGGGAATGCCAACTTGTGCCGCCACTTTGGAGATCAGTATGGAGATTCCTCAGGAAAATGGAAATCAGTCTACCACAAGATCCACTAATTCTACTTTTAGGCATATACCCCCAAAATGTACACTCATACAATAAGGCCATCTGCTCCACTACGTTCATATCAGCATTATTTGTAATAGTCAGAACATAGAAGCAACCTAGATGCCCCTCAACTGAAGAATGGATAGAGAAAATGTGGTATATCTACACAATGGAGTACTACTCAGCAAAAAAATTGAATCTTGAAATTTGCAGGCAAATGGATGGCACTAGAAGAAACCATCCTGAGTGAGGTAACCCAGTCACAAAAATACAAACATGGTATATACTCACTCATATATGGATTTTTGACATGGAGCAGAGCATTGCCAGCCCACATTCCTACCACCAGAGTGTCTGGGAAACAGGGAGGACCCTAAGAGAGATATGCATGGTAGCCTGGAGGAAGGTTATGGGATGAGCTTTCCTAATTGGATTGGGAGGGGGAGGAGTGGGGGTAAGGCAGAAAGAGATGGGAGAAGGAGAGGGGAGAGGGGACATGGGAGTGCAGAAGGGTTGAGCCAGGTTAAGAATAGAGGAGAGAAGGATGAGAGATACCGTAATAGAGGGAGCCAGTATAAGTTGGAGGAGAGATCTGGCACTAGTGAGATCTTCACAGATCTACAAGAATGACACCAACTGGCATTAAAGCTACCTTAAATGCCTTCCCATGATAATGAAATTGATGAGTACCTTATATGCCATCCTAGAGCCCTCATCCAGTGGCTTTCTGAAGCAGAGGCAGACACCCACCGGTAAAAATGAAATTGAATTCTTGGTACCCAGTTGCAGAGAGGAGTGATGAGCCAAGGAATCAAGACCAGGCTGTCAAAATCCACAGAGGCAGCTGACATAAACAAGGGGGAATGCATGGACCCCAGATTGGTGACTGAGAGGCCAGCATGGGATTGATCCAGACACCCCCCCTGCCCCAAACCTGGGTATCAGAGAAGAGGCCTCGACAATCTATGGGACCTTGGAGAGTAGAGCAGTATTTATTCCAGGCATACAAATAGATCTGGGAGCCCATTCCACATGGAGAGATGCTCTCTCAGCCTGGACATACGGGAGAGGACCTAGGCCCTACCTGGGATGATATGACAGACTCTGAAAATCCCTCATGGTACACTTATCCTCCCTGGGGAGCAGAGGGGTGATAGACTGGGGTGGAGGGTTGGGAGGGTTGGGGAGTTGGGGGAGGAGGGGAAGGAGAGGGGACTGAGAGTAACATCTGTAAAAAGTTAAACTAAAAAAAAGGAAAAAAAAAACGAAATCCCAAGCATTTTTTACAGCACATTTGAGACCAGGGGTTCCAAGACACCACCTGTCTTTATTAGGATTTCAGCTCCACTAGTTCAGGCACAGGGTGGCTTCTCCCACTACTCAGGGACAGTCATGGTGTCTGGGTTGTTCCAGGCAGGAGCAGGGCAAAGGGTTCCTCCATCCCTGCAGGTTCCTCTTTTTGTGTCACTGCTATGATGGCTGTCCTCTCTTGGCTACTTAGAGATGGCTCAGCCCAAAGAGCTGTCACCTTCACACCTCAGGCATTCCCGGAAGGACTGGTGACACTGGAAGCTAGAAATGCTGGTCCATGTGGAGTGTTGCATGTGGGCAGGGGTGGCTGGGCCCTCCTGCTTCTCTTTGTGGGAGCATTAGATAGTAGAGCACCTCTGGAGAGCAGTAGAGTGGATACAAAATCCAGAGTAGAGAGAACACTCCAAAGGGATAAACAATTCAGTAACTGAAACTAAGAGAAACACCACATGCTACTCAAATTCTGCTTCTGAGACCACAGCCACAAAGACTGGCAGGAGGTGACAGCTGAGATGGCCCCAGGAGTTCAGATTCTAGATCCTATGCAGACCTGGGCTTGGTGATGCGTGACAGTAACCACAGCTCTGAGGGCAGGAACTGGTACATCCTGTGAACTCACTGGTCAGCTAGTCTAAGATGAGCTCTAGTTGCTCAAAAAAACAAGGTGGAGAGGGACATAGGATGGCAATTGACATTGACCTCTGCTGTTCATACAGAGATGCACAGGCAGGAGCTTCCTCCTCATCCCTCCCCCCCCCAGACACACACAGGCACAGACACATGAACACACATAGATACACACACACTCACTCAAGCATATACACAATCAAACATACACACATTCAAACATACACCCACACACAGACATGCACACACAGATACATCGTCACACAGACAAACCCACCCCCTTACAAACACATATACACACACAAGGCAGACACACCACACACATGAACACACACAAACAGAACACATGCACAAAAAGACACATTCACACATATAGATATAGACGCATGTACACTCTCAGACACATGAGCACATACAGATAGATACATGCACACAAATCCATACTCACATAGAGATACATGCAAACACTTGCATACACAATATACGTACATGCCCACACAAAACTACACCATACCCACACATGTCCACATACCACACATATAAATGAGCCTATAACTCAAACACCTATGCCTACATATTTGACACATGAACAATAGAGTATGAGGTGTTACTCCTACTGCATGCTGGCTGAGCATGTGTAAGTCCTTGGAATCAATTCCCAGCATCATGAGAAATATAGCATTGTAAGTCTGATAAGTATCAGTGATGCCTAATCAAGATAAAACCAGAAAGATGCTCAGACAAACATACCGATTTCCCAGCATGCTATGGAGTGTGGCAAGGGCAGAAGAGTGACCTCACATTGGACAGTTCTGTCCTGCACATTCCTGGACAAGGGCTTGAGTCCCATCAGCCTGTGGGGAGACCTTGCCTAAGCCCCTGGAACATGCTAATAGCAGTGTCTCTGCACACCTGGGGCTGAGGGCCACGTGGCACCATTTATATCAGCAACAGGGTTTAGGACAGTGGCCTCAGATTGCCTGAATGTGACTTGGAGGGAGTGGAGACTGAGGTCAGCCATGTGGGTGCCCCCAACCATGCTCATGACCATGGAACCCACCAAACCCCTGAGGCTCAGTGAAATTCACTGTGAGCATTGCCCTCAACCTGAGTCACACTTGGTGGCTGGGAGTCCCCTCCACCTCTGACACACCTCACAGACAGCTGGGGGTATGTCCAACTCCTTGGGCTCTGCTGTGGCTTCACCGGCTGCTGCTTTTCTTTGCCCTCTCTGCAGGCTCCACTGTGAGGGCTGCAGCCTTCCAGGCTCTGGAGTCTTTCCAGGGGCTCCCGGTGCCTCAGGGTCTCTGCCTGTCATCCCTGCCTATTCTGGCTTCTGCGTATCTATTGGCTGCTTATCTCTTTATTACGACCATCAGGTGTTTTAGACGGGCACAGTAACACTGTTTCACAGAGTTAAACAAACGCAGCATAAACAACAGTGTCACACCTGAAAATAATTTCCTACCACAATGGGAGACAAAGGCTCGGTTGACACTCCTGAACAGCAGTACCTTTTCCCTTCTTCTTTGGCTTCCATCTTCCTCTCCTGCTTTCTCTTCTTTCTTATCTAGTGTTTCCTCATTTCTCTCACTTGGTTCTGTGGTCATGAGATAGTGTCTCCTCATTATGCACTCTGACAGTTATAAACCTTGTTTATCGCCCAGGCTAGCCCCAACCTTGCCAATCTCTGTCTCAGCTTCCCAAGGGCTGAAACTGCAGGCTGGGCCACTGCACTAGGGTGAGTTCAACCTTTCATCATTGCATTCAAGTCATAGATTAAGGAAGGATCAGTCCAGGGTAAGGGGTGATTGACACAGTTCTCTGAGGACCAACCGCAGACGGGGGTGAGGGTTTGAATGAGAAAACAATTGACAGTCACAAAACTGTTTTACTGTGGGAGGATCAGACAAAGCTAGGGTGGATTGAATTGGTGTCCTGCTAGCGAGGAACTGCACAGAGCTGGTAGGGGGCTGGGCTTTTCAAAACACCTAAGACTACATGGTCGCTGGGCCGGGGCTGCCCAGCGGGCACCGAGAAGCTAAAGTGCTGCAGGAGGCAGGTGAAGAAGAGGAAGAGCTCCATGCGGGCCAGGGGCTCCCCCAGACATGCTCTGCGGCCTGTGGGTGGGAGAGGGGCTCAGTCAGTCTGGGGCCTGCTTGATGCTCCACCCTCCAGGCACCCTGGGAAGAGGCAGGGAGCCAGGGGCCCACAGCACCTGCTGAGAATGGCATGAAGGCCTCCTGCTTCACAAAGCAGCCCTGGGCATCCAGGAAGTGTTCAGGATGGAAATGGAGGGGCTTCTCCCAGACGGTCTCGTCCTTCAGCACTGAGGACAGGTTGGTGATGAGGGTCGTCCCCTGGCGGGAGGCACAGGGTATAAACATGGACTGGGACAGAGATAGCGCACACACAACCACTCTCTGTACACACTGGATTCTGTCACTCAACCTCAGCCTCCGAGCCTCCCAGCCCGTTCTCTAAGGCCATGGTAACCCTGTAAGGAGTCTCCCATGGGTGGCCAACCAGCCCTGTTTCTATGTCCAGTGCTTCCTAAAATCCCCTGTGGTCACTGTGGTTGGCCATTTCTCCTTCCCGAGCACACTTGGTGGCTGCAGTGCTCCTGAACCAGGCTGGGCCTGTCAGCATGGCGGAAATCCCAGGTGTGCTGGTCTCGATCTTCCTGTCCTTGTGTGCTAGTGTCATGATGTAATAGTAGAGGGCCCATGCCTACCTTGGGGATGAGGAATCCCTGAACTTCAATGTCCCGGGATGTGATGCATGGCAAGTTCAGTGGGGCGATATCTGCAAAGCGCTGCACCTCATGAATGACAGCGTTGGTGTAGGGCATGCGGGCCTGGTCTGCCATCTCTGGGCTTCTCCCCGGTCCTAAGATGTCATCGATCTCCTGTTGGACTCGGCCTGCAAGGGACAGCGTCCCCTCAGTGAAGCATTCCTGTAGGGCCTCCCTCTCTTCCGTCCTAACAACCACATTATGGGCTGAGGTCATGTGAGAGAGATGCCCGTGAGTGTTGCTGGAGTCTGGGTTAGGTTAGTGCTGGGAGCCACAAGCGTCTGGAGTCAGCTTGGAGAGAGTGGTTCTCGTTCCCCCCTCCCATCCCCAGCCAGGCTCACGCTGCACATCTGGGTACTGGATCATGAACAGCAGGGCCCAGGACAGTGTTGTTGAGGTGCTCACTGTCCCTGCAATGAACAGGTCATTCACCACCATGCGCAGATTCTGATCATTGAAGCTGCTCTCAGGATTCCCCTTGGCCTGGGACAGACAGGGAAACTGGGATCAGTGGGGAGGGCAGTCCCACAGTGGCCTCCCCTTGTTCTCAGGCAGTCCAGGGTTTGTGTGACACAGCCCCTGACCTGGTCGTAATGGCTGTCCCTTACCTTTTCCATTTCTGCCAGGAAGGCATCAGTAAGGCCTCGGGGTGGCTGTTCAGGGTCCCAGGTCCTCCTGTTCTCAGTCAGCAGGTTATCCACTATGGCCGCGAAGGTCTTTTGCCCAGAGAACACCTTGTCAAACAACCCTGGGATGTGCAGGAGCACTGGGAATGTGTTCAGAATCTGTGACAGCAGAGGACGTCTCAGTGCTACATCTTCTAAAAGTCTAATTAATTACTCATTATTCATTAAAGTGTATGGGTCCTGAACTGTGGGGTGTGGGAGAAAGTAACAGGACAATTTTAATGTCTACCATTTTATCCTACATGGGTCCTAGGCATCAAACTCATGTCCCCAGGCTCGCTTGGGAAGCCCCTTCCCCACTAACCACACGGCTGGCCCCTTCCCCACTAACCACACGGCTGGCCCCTTCCCCACTAACCACACGGCTGGCCCCTTCCCCACTAACCACACGGCTGGCCCCTTCCCCACTAACCACACGGCTGGCCCCTTCCCCACTAACCACACGGCTGGCCTCTTGGTGCTGGTTGTCCTCAGTGTCCACCTGGACCAGGCTCAGATCCCAGCCTCCTTCACAATGGACCCAGAGCCTGCTTGTCCCCACCCAACACCTGCCTCCTCCTCAGTTCCATTCGTTAGACTCTTGCAGCCGGGTGAACAGAGAGAATTTGCTACCCTGGAAATCACAGGCTAGCATGGCTTCCATGTAGACAGAGGGCACACGTTGTGGCTCTTCCTAGCAACTGCAATTTTGATTCTCTTCTCCCCTCCTGGTAACTGATTTTACTCAACTCCAGGCCTTTCCTCCTGCAGCTGTCTCCCAGAAGGCCCTCTCTCATGGGCTCTCACCCAGGTTCCTCTGAGACCATGGACAGCATAGAAGTGACTACGCAGGCTGTGCTGAGCCTCCTACCTCAGGAATGAAGCCAGAGATGTTGGTCAGAGCTTCCTCCAGCAGTCTCAGCATCCTGATGAGGTTAGCGTCTTCATACTCGAAGCGGCGAGCAAAAATGAGGGACGTGATCACATTGCACACAGCCTTGTTCAGCAGCGTGCTGGGATTGAAGGGACGCCCTGCGAGTGGAGACACGAGATAGTCACTGTACTGCTCACGTGTCCCTGTGCCCATCTGCACCCCTCACCCATCACCCACCAGCCTGGTCCTTGAAGGCGTCACAGAGGTGGCCAGCCTCGTCTGTCACCCACTGCTCCAGTGGTTTCTTGCCCAGGCCCAAGTTGCGCAGGGTGGACACAGAGAATCGTCGCTGCTCTCTCCACTCAGGCCCGTAAGGGGCAAGAATCACACCTGTGGGGACATCTGTGTAACCAGGGACACCTCGCTGTGCTGTCCTCTTCCCGTCACGCCTCTTTTCCTGTGGGATCTGTGCCACCCAGAAACTCCCTCCCTGTTCCCCCACACACAAAGCCATCTCCACCCCACTCCAGCATGCTAAGTGAGTTCCCTGACGGATGTCAGCGACCTTTGTTGAAGTACTTAACTGCGTCACCACCACAAACGTGTCCTGTCCTTCCTTTCCTCACTGTCCCCCATGCCACCTCCAAACCCATCCATGCCACCTCCAAACCCCTCTCTGCCCCCACACAGCTTTTGCCTCTTGCTTTGGGACCCAAACTCCCATGTTCATAGATGGGTATTTTTGGGCGGTCTGCAGTGTATTCTCCATAGTTCACCAGCACTTCCCGCACCGCCTTCAGTCCATTGATCATGACCATATGTTTCCAGGCCATCTGCAGGCTGAACACGTCGCCATAGTGTTGTTGGAGCTAAAGGAGACAGGCAGAGCACTTAGGAAGTGGAGGTGCCCCACAGATGCTAGGACCAGGTTCACTATATAAGCATCGGTGTTGTACACTGTGCACGAGTGTGTCTGTGTTTCTGTTCACACAATGAATGGGTGTGCATGTGTGTGTGTGTGTGCGTGTGTGTGTGTGTGTGTGTGTGTGTGTGTGTGTGTGTTTTAACTTTGGTCCTCACATATGCTGGGAAAATGATCTTGCACTGAGCTCCATCCCCTGCCTGAGCTCTGACACACTGTGCCTGGGGCATCCCAACTTTGAAAGGACTTATAGTGACTTGGTCATTCAGCTGTGACCTTGCCAGCACCCACAAACTGTCCTGTCATGACACATGAAGAAACTCTGGTCCTTGAGATGAGCAGTGAGGCCAGAGACCAGACAGCAGTAAGATATTGGATCAGTCGTAGCCCTTCTGTTTCCACTTGGTCTCCTGACATACATGCTGCACTGGGCCTACAATCTTGCACCATATGAGACCTCATCTGTGACAGCGTCATAGGGGACTTGGTGCCTTCATAACTGCTGCCTGGACCAACCAGGTCTGAACTCTGCCGTCACACCCTGCCTCACATCTTGGACTTTGCCCCTCCAAAAGCTTTTGCCCTAGAGTTTTCAGTGTCCTCAGACCTGGCAAGAGGCTGCCACCAGGAAGCTGCTATACCTGTCTCCTCCTGGGAGCACAGCTACTTGTCTAACCTGAGACTCCTCCCCTGCCATGTGCTGCCACAGACACTGTAACCACTGTCACCACCCACTACTGACCCCCTCACCTTGTGCACGCTGTACTGCATGTTCTTGAGGTCCACCTGCAACAGGTTGCCGAGCAAAGGCAATGGCACAGGGCCTGGTGGGTAGCGAGAAGCCCAGCGTTGGCGCCGGTGCAACAGATCCACCAGTAATATGAGGATGACCGTGAACATGGCCACAGGCCACAGGCCATGCCCAGTCAGCAACTCCATGGCTGTCCCACTGCTCCCCAGGCTTCCTAGAGAACAATGAGCAACGCTCAATACAGGCACCTGGGATCAGAATCCCACAGCTTGGAGCCTTCCACCTTATAAAGGACTGCCAAGGTTGCCCTTTGTCCTTTGCCTAGTTTCTGTGTTTTGTTTGGCCAAGTGCAATGAGGGTTCAGGGAACTTGAGTCCCTCACAAGAGTGGAGAGTGTGGTTCTGCGGTATGGGCATGGTGGGCAGATGTCCGGTGGACCCCCACTTTAAGGAGAAATGGATTCCACCCATGCTCTGCTCTGAAGGCTTGAGGACACGCCTCAGAGAGGGATGAGACCTCTCTAAAGCTCCAAGGATCATTTTGTTGGCAAGATATGAGGGGCTGACTGTCAGTACCATGGCTTCCATGGGTGTGTGAGCAGTGGGAGGGTGTCTCCTGTAGTTGGGGGTAGGAGACTGCAGGCCCAGTGGGTGAGGGAGGGGCAGGTAGGGGAGGCAGCTGGAGCTCTGTGGGTGAGTGAGGTGCAGTGGGGGACAGTGTAGGAAGCAGCTGGAGCCTCTCGGGGAACGGGTGGGCAGTGCAGAAGGTAGTTGAATCCCATGTAATCTTCAGTACAGGCCTGAGGTCATGCAGTTGATCAGGAAGGCCAGTCATACAACTAGGAGATTTCTCAAAGACAACCTGAGATATGTGAAAAATGGTCTGAGAACCCTGGGGAGGCCACTAAGTTGGGCCAGGAACTTGTCACATGCTGGCCTGTGACATTTAATCACCATTTGTTTCTTAGCAGGTCAATCATTCCCCCAAGCGTCTTCCACATGGAGGTATGCAGGCAGTGTCCTCCTCATGCCAGAGGACTGTGGGTTAGATAGGCTGCCCTGAGGAAAATGGAAAGATGATGCCTGAGGCTGCCAACAAATGGCACTTGTGTGGTGGGCACTGCAGGAAACACTGCATGTGCCAACTCATCACTTCCTAGTGTCAGCGAAGGTGCAGTCCCTGTCCTTGGGCATCCAGACCTCTGAAGATCAAGGGCTCAGAAGTCCCAGTGGAATCCAGGCAGGCACTCTCTGCACGACACCAAGTAGCACCTCAGCAAGAAATGGACACCGGGTCTCCTCCTCTTGACCGCCCCTTCTGCTCCCTTCTCTGCACACCTATGTCCTCAGGGACTGTGGGAAACTCCATGCCATTTGGTATCCTGAAACCCCCAAGTCTGCTTCCTGTTCCTTGACTCTTGGCCCTGCCCAACCCTGTTAGAATAACATGGCCCCTGAGTTTGGGGCACAGACAAGGATCCTTCTCTAGCTCCAACTTGGCCTGAAGGGAGCCCTGAATGGGATTTAGGACACCCGCCTGGGTCACAGTCAGGAGTGGGGGGACAGACACAACTGGTCACTGATTGGCTCAGGCTGGTGAATTTCTCCTGGTTTACCCTGGGACCTTCCCATGGTAACTTCTGAGGCCTGATGGTTAAACCTGGAAGTTAGCTGTCACACATCCTGCTCTCTTCAGGTCTCCCCGTCTCTTGTGTGTGTCATGTATGACATGAAAGAGAAGCAATGGTGCTGACTGGGTGCTGGCCCCAGTGTGGGATGGGCAAACCCAGGCCTGGTTTATCTGCTTCAGGCTAAGTGAGGCCCTGAGAGGCAAGTGCACCGAGCAGGTGAGGGATGTCACTCACTGTGTGGTGAAGGGTTCCCTGCTCTGTCACCAGCTCTTAGGAGATGACCTGGACGCTCTGGGAAACATCTGCCTAGCACTGTTTGCTTCTCTTCATCCTCAGTCCATGCCTCCTCAGCCATGTGAACAATTGAGCCCTGTCAAGATCAGAGTGACTTCCAGGGGACTGGGGTCTTGGTATTCATGTCAGCTGCACAAGTGTGCCATGTCTGTAACAGCAAACTGGAACAGAGCCTCTGGTCATCAGGATTCAGGGATGCTACCAGTTCACAATTCCCTGTGCGCATGTCAACAGATGATCATGTCCGTTGAACACTGCTGGAAGAGGACAAATGGAGCTTGGGCATGTCTCTCCTAGAGTCTGTCCTGGAGACTCTGTCCTTTGCTGCCTTCAGCTGCCTGGGATCATTGAAGTGAAGACCAACTATGAATCCAAGAGCCATTCCTAGGTCTGTGCTCTCTTCCCTACGCATGGTGGGAAGTGCAAAATCAGTTGACATGGGAAGAGTCTGACTCCCTGGGGTGATTGTGACTGTGAGAACACTACCTGAAGGGAGCTTGGTTTGGGTAGAGGAATGCTGGGATTGTTTAGAGCCGGGGAAGCTTTCATGCTCACAAGGTTACTACTCCCCTCCTGGCTTGAGTCCTCTGCGAATGTGTGGTAAATTATGACAGGATGTTACCTATGGAAGCAGAAACGACAGAAGTAATCCTATAGGTGGCATACTTTGAGTGTAAAGAAAGGCAGAATTTAAAAATATTTTGATTGAAATGGCAAGGTTAACATGAGAAAATAGTCAAAAGACAACACTGAAAGGAACACGGAATCACAGTACAAGAGAAGAGTGTCGTTAGGTCCCACAGGGGAATTGACTTGGAAGAGACAAGTCAAATTCAGTGCTTGCACTTCAATGTCCTTCACTTCAAAGAACTCAGGCAGCTGAAGGCAGCAAAGGGAAAAGCAGACAGGACAGAGTCCAGGACAGGCATGCCCAGGTTCCATGTGTCTTCCAGCAGAGTCCAAAGGACAATGATTGAGTGTCTGCTGACATGTGTACAGAGAATTGTGAACTGGGATCACCCCTGAACCCAGATGAACTGGCGCTGAGTTCCAGCTAGCTCTTGTAAACATTGCACAATTGTGCAGTGTTCAGAATGCAGGGCTGTGATCCCAACGATCCTCAGTAAGTGAGGCAGCTGTGCAGGGGTGATCTTTGCCTTACAACAGCTCATGTTGCCCAATGATGCAGCAATGAGAGACCCCAAACACAGCATTCCAGGGGCTTTGGTATTATGACTTCCTGTTGTGGTGAAGAGAAGGATGCACGGATCTGTGCTGGACCACACAAGGCTGACTGGCTTGAAGTAGAAACAGTGAGAGCTGCTTCTGCAGAGGATTCTGTAGAACCTGCTGCCCATTTAACAGCACAGAAAATGCTTGTGAGAAGTGCTGTAAAAGATACCAGAGAAAAATGATTTGGGCAGACTGAGACCATAGAGGTTGCAGAAGACTGAGTGGAGTCTGGGGAAGTCAGGGCAGGACCCTGGAGGCAAGAACTGAAGCAGAGTCATGGAGGATGCTGCTTACTGACTCATCAGCCTTATCTTTTACATCACTCAGGACCACATGCCCAGGGGCGGCATCACCCACAGTGAGCTGGGCCTCCCTCCTCACTGGTCAATCAAGAAACACACTATGGGCTTGCCCACAGGCAGTCTGGCGGGGGCGTTTTCTCAATTGAAGCTTTCTATTCTCATAGGATTCTAGCTTGTGTCAAGCTGACAGAACCAGAACAGAGACTGCAAGCAGAGGGGGATTATGATTTATGATGACAGTGATTTTAAAACAAGGAACTTTGTGTGGTGTGGAGGAGGGGAGAACCTGGTAAGAGTCAGTGGAAGGGATGGGTGACCAAAACAGAGTGTACCAAAATTTCATTTATAGAACAGAAAAAATCCATAAAAAAACAAAAACCACATTTCACTCTTAAAACAGAAAAAAAACAACAACCAAAACCCAGAGCTACTGCTGAGTCTAAGATGTAGCTCTATGGTAAAGCATTTCTTTATAGCATGTTTGAGACCAGGGCTTCCAAGATTCCATCTGTATTTATTAGATTTCAACTCCACTGGGTAGGCGCAGGATGCCTTCTATCACCACTCAGGGGCAATCATGGTGCTGGGGCCCGGCCAGGCAGGAGCAGGGGTAGGAATCCTCCAACGTTGCAGGTTTCTACTGGGTGCCACTGCTATGATGGCTGTCCTCTGGGCTACTAGAGATGGCCCAGCCCAAAGAGCTGTCACCTTCTCTCACCCAGGCTTTCCAGGAAGGGCTGGGGACACCAGGAGCTACAAATGCTGGACCACGTGGAGTGTTGCAGGCAGCAGGGGCTACAGGGATGACCCTCCTGCTTCTCTTTTCGGGGATGTCAGAACTACCTTCTGACACACTTCTGGAAAGCATTAAGTGGATGCAAAACAGAGAGATAAGAAGGAAAATAAGCCACTCTGAAGACAGAAACAATCCAGTAATTGAAACTAAAGAGAAACGCCAAGTGTTCCTTGAATTCTGCTCCTGAGACCACAGCCAGAGGGACTGGCAGGAACCCTTTGCAGAGATGGTGCTGGGGTTGAGGGGCAGAAAGATCTGAGTTGTGATCCTACTACCTATGCAGACCTGGGCTTGGTGTTGTGTGACAGTAACCACAGCTCTGAGGGTGGGACCTGGTACATCCTGGGTACTCACTGGCTAGTTTGTCTAGCTGAAAGGATGAGCTCCAGGGTCTCAAAATGATGCTGATGCTGATGATACTGATATTGATGATGATGATGATGATGATGACACTGATACTGATGATGATGTAGGGTGTTGAGGAGATGACTCAGCATTAAAGAGCATCAGATGTTCTTCTAGAGGACCCAGGTTCAATTCCCAGCGATCACATGGCAGCTCACAGCTGTGTAACTCCAAGATTTGCAGCTTTCCATACTCCAGATACCTGGCACAGGTAGGACACTTATACCATGCAAGGCTATACGCTTCTAAAGGAGCAGAGATCACCCTTTGTGCTCTGCTTTGAGCCAAGCTGCTATGCTGTCTGTGTAGCCAGAAGAAGCAGGCAGAGCAGGGGGCAGAGGCTGCTCCATAGGCCTTTCCCCCCTTTCTTCTCCATCTACTTCCCAGGGTAGGGAGGTGAAGTAGTAGACCTTCTCCATCTTTCTGATACACCTGAGCTCAGCCCCAGCTCCCCTCAGAACTATGTAGTCTGGAGCCTGGTGTAGTGACTCACATCTGTAATTCCTGCATTTGTGAGGCTGAGGCATGAGGATTGCTGTTCTACTCTAGCCTGAGTTACAGTGTGAGACGACCCCCACCTCAAACAACAACAAAAAATCGGGACTTCTTCCTGTTGGCTCACACTCTCAGTATGGTGCAGGCTGTCCCCAGCAAGTCTTTGTTTCTCTTCAATCACTTGCCCAATGCTGATGGATCCTCATCTGACCCATATGTCATATGTCACTTACTCTTGCGCGGGGGGGGGGGGCTTATGGAGTACTCTTAGGGACCATATGACAGGAAGCACAGGAAACTAAGAGGGTTAATACACTCATAAAACTACTGTGACAAAAATACTTAAGGCATACTATTTTATCAAGAAAAGGGGGCTGGCAGGCGGCTTAGTGGGTAGAGGCTCCTTCCTCTAAGCCTGACAATCTGAGTTTGACCCCAGGACCACACAGTGGAAGGAGGGAATCAACTCTCATAAATTGTTCTCTGACCTCTATGTGGGTTCATGAATGTGCACACACATACAAGGTAATTAAACCTTAGGTTTACTTTGTCTTATGGTTCTGGAAGCTGGTGATCAAGTCCCAGTGGTATTTGTGATGCACTACATGACAGGAAACACGAAGTCTATGTGTGTGTGTGTGGGCACTGTTCCTCTCCTAAACCACTGAACTCAACCATAGGGTCTACCCTAATGGTCTCATCTAAAGCTATTTTTCAAAAAGTCTTTTTCCACCTTTTATTACCATAGATGTACCTCACAGTAGGGATTACGTGAAGCTCTGGGGACACTCAGCCAAGTGCAAACTATAGACAGGTACTTCTGTGGGGCGTATGCCATTTTGTAAATGTTGGTTGAACTCTGACAACTCCAGTGACTGCAGTAGTTTAGTTTTTAGAACTGAAGTTAACTTGTTTGCCTAGGTGACCAGAAAGCATGTTTATAGATCATCTGACCTTTCTGAGCTGACTATTCACTGGTTACTCCTAGCAATGGCCAACTGCAAGCCAAAGGGAAACGAGAATCTCTGAAATGTGTAAGAACGGATTGTCACTCTGCCATGTGGCCCTGATGTTGGGGGGAAGTCCTGTGCATTTGTCAATAAAGCACTGCTGGCCAATAGGAATCTAGATAGGTGGGACTAGGAGTCCAGGAGGACTCTGGGAAGGAGAAACAGAGAATCAAGATGTAACGCCATGGGGTAGGAAGCCCGGAACTATTCTCCAGTAAGAGAAATACTTAGATTAACAATTATGGGGTAATTACTTAAGTCAGAGCTAGCCAGTAAGAAACAAGCAAGACCAACAGCTTTATAACTAATATAGCCTCCTGTGTGTTTATTTGGGACAGATGCGGCTCTGGAATCAGGCTGGCGGGAAGGCTTTTCTCTCAAGGAAAAAGCTTCTCTTTACACCCTGATCTTTCCTCCTCACCGTGCTGATGTCTATGGCATTAGTAACTCAACAAATTTCTTACCTAAAAGAACCCTCTTTCTCAGTGTCCCCCTTGAGCTGGAATCGTTACCTCAGACTGCACAAGTGAGGCACTTTCACTGAAGTGCATAATCACACAAGTCTACAATTGGCACATTTTCACGTCTTCCCACAGGCACAACACACACTTGCACACCCATCAACAACACCTTGAGACAGCACTAACGCACTCCAGACCCACAGACACTCACATGCCAGACACATCCCAGTGGGATCTACGAGATGGGTAGCTGGCACCAAGAGCCCTGCTTCTGATGCCCAGACTGCCCCTGGTCTACGGGCAGCTCCCAGTGAGGCACACGGCTCCACATGGCTGGTCCTAGCAAGTCACACATGAGAGTCAGGAAGCAGCGGCTGGTGGGACCCAGAAGACATTTCTACAAACTCTAGTCTACAACATGTCTAGCCACTTCTGGAGGGACAATGTCACTGTTGCCTCCAATTGCATTAGAAACCAGATGCCAATGCTATTGATGGCCCTCCCAAGGTGAACTGCTTCTTTCTTGCTTTTAGATTTCTGTGTTTTGATAGCTGGGTTAAAACTGTCCAGATATAGCTTTGCTGAAAGCTACCCTAGGAGTTTCTTTGAGTTACTTTTCTCAAATCTTTGAGGAAATACCTGCCGAGAGGCAACAGGAGAAGCGGGGAATCACACAGTCAGGCAGAAGCAGGAGACTCACACAGTCAGGCAGCAGGAGGAGAATCACACAGTCAGGTAGCAGAAGGAGATGAATAAGGATTCCCCCTGCTCACTTCCTCCTTTCCCCACTTGTATTCAGCCTGTGGCTCCAGCCCATGGTATTGTACAACAACATTTGGGTAGATCTTCTTGCCTTAGTTAAACCTCGCTGGAAACGCCTCACAGAAACACGCTGAGGTGCATCTTAAGAGATTATAGATGAATATAGATTAAACTGAAAATTTAAATTTACCATTACAGAGTTCCTTGAACTTCTTATACACACAGATTAATGGCTTCATCAAATTCTTTGTTTGTTTCTTTGTTTGGGTTTTTGAGGCAGGGTTTCTCTGTGTAGCCCTGGCTGTGCTGGAACTTGCTCTGTAGACCAGGCTGATCTTGAACTCACAGAGATGCATCTGCCTCTGCTTCCCGAGTGCTGGATTAGAGGTGTGCGCCACCACAGCCTGGCTGACTTCAACAACATCTTAACTGGGCCTGCACTACATGGAAATCAGCTTACATAAAGGTCTCCGTACCACTCACTTTCCTCTTCATTCTTGGGCATGAGCTCTTGGTTGACCGTCTTTATGCTTGCTGACTATTATTTCTGACTGCTCATATCTGCTCTTGGACTCTGAAGGGATTTTCATTTTGATTATTTTCATTTTCAGCTACAGAATTTCTTTTGGTCTCTGTTCTTAGTTTCTGTCTCATTACTGGTATTTGGTAATATTTTAATTAAAAATATTTGTTTTTATGAGTATGCTGGTAGGTAGTCTGTGCACCAGGACATTGGATCCCCCTGGACCTGGAGTTAACAGATGGTTGTGAGCTGCCATGCAGGTGCTGGGAATTGATCCTCGATCTCTGGAAGAGCAGCCAGAGCTCTTAACCACAGAGCCATCTCGTCAGCCCCAATTTTTTCCTTTCTAGGGACATTTTCTTTTAGCATTTTGAACAGATTTTAGTGAGGTGATTTAAAGTCTGGTTACTTTGCACTCACTTTATTTTCCCGTGTATGGACTATTCTTTTTTTTTTTTTTTTTTTGGTTTTTCGAAACAGGGTTTCTCTGTATTGTTTTGGAGGCTGTCCTGGAACTTGCTCGGTAGACCAGGCTGATCTCAAACTCACAGAGATCCGCCTGTCTCTGCCTCCCGAGTGCTGGGATTAAAGGCATGCACCACCACCGCCTGGCTGGACTATTCATCCTGGCTCTTTCTTTTGCCTGTCTCATTATTTTAAACTGGATGTTTCAAGCACTACTGTGCGGTTACGCTGAAGACAAGATTATTGCTTGGGTTTTTGTTCCTGTGACTGATGCTAAGAGAAACACCTAAGAGACCAAAAGACTTATCTTGGTGCATGGCTCAGGTGTCTCCCTCCGTGTCAACCTGCTTCATGGCTGGGGGACTATAGCTACACAGAACACACAGTACTGAGAGAATGTGGCAAAGCAAAGAGCATCTCATGACAGCTGGGAGAGAGGGGAAGCTCGAGGGACAAGATGGATCCTTCAAAGACAGAACCCCAGTAACTGACTGCTTCCAACCCTCTCAGTAGTCCAATCATGTGTGAACTCATCAGTGGACTAACCCATTGATTAGACTGAAGCCCTCTGGTAACAAAGAAATCTCATACATGGGCCAGAGAATGAAAAGCCAGTGAAGGAACCCAGTAAGACTCTGTGGTTGTGGATGGTAGGAACCTCCAAGTGTGGGGAGATTGTCTCCACAATGGGTACACAAGAAATCCCCGTATGAGGGGACTGAGTGACCCTAGAGAAGTCCATGGACTTGCAAGACACTTCCAATATGGGGAACCGGGCAGTTCTAGAAAGGATTGCTCTACAAGATACCCCTTGTTATTTTGGGGAGAAAAATAGATCTCTCTCTCTCTCTCTCTCTCTCTCTCTCTGTGTGTGTGTGTGTGTGTGTGTGTGTGTGTGTGTGTGCGTGTGTTTTTCTGTAGCTGTATGTTTTCTGTGTTACATGAACTTAAGACATGTGCATGTGAGGGACTAGCACTCAGATTCCTGACAGGCAAGAAGCAGATGGTAAAGACACTCTCTTCGCTTCTGTCTCACCCTCCTGACCCAAGATAAAGGTCCAGCAGCTTGACACAAGTCTGGCAGCTGTTTCCTTTTGGACAGTAGTTACCCAGCCCTCTACTGACAACAAACTAGGCCAGAAAACATGGACCACTTTGTTGGAGTGGACTTTTAACTCATCCCTGTTCCTTGTAAGGCACCCCTCATACCAGATTCTTCTTCTTATTCTTCTTTTTTTTTTTGAGACAGGGTTTCTCTGTATTGTTTTTTTGGAGGCTGTCCTGAAACTCCGTCTGTAGACCATGTTGGCCTCCAACTCACAGAGATCCGCCTGCCTCTGCCTCCCCAGAGCTGGGATTAAAGTTGTGCACCGTCAACGCCCGGCTGAGACTCCTCTTAGTAACTCCAGTTAGTTCACCACACTGGTGGTAGTGTTACTTCAATCTGTTGTACTTTCCACTTCTAGGTAAACAGAAGTGTGTGTGTGTGTGTGTGTGTGTGTGTGTGTGTGAGAGAGAGAGAGAGAGAGAGAGAGAGAGAGAGAGAGAGAGAGAGAGAGAGAGAGAGAGGAGAGAGGAGAGTTGCATCTCCCTAGGAAAAGTCTGTTACACAACAGCTCTTCAGGAGTAATGACAGAAAATTGTAGGTCCCGGGCCATAGCCACTGATGGCCTAAGGAATTAGAAAGTCATGATTAAGGGCTTGCTTCCCACTCAGAGCTTCAGTGCATGGAGGTCCATGACATTATTTAGAGCCATTTTCTCCGATGAATCAAGGACACAGGCACTATGAATGAACCAGTGGACAAGCACCATGGCTTGCCTGGGCTCCTGAGTGGCGTCTCCCCATCCCACAGGCCCCATTTCAGTTTTTCACATGCTACTCATCAAACTGGATGGCCAGTTCAGACGTCTCCTCCCCTTAACCTTGAGCAGTTGGCAAACGCTGGTAATTGCGTGCTGCAGAAAGTTCCCAAGCCACTATCTTTTAATAATTAAAATTTAGAGAAAAATCTGGGCTTTTCCCTAGCGACCCAGACCCATTAGAATGAATACCATATTTCTCTGTACCATCTGTACAAGTTTGCAAGTCACTGAGTTTAATATTAGTTTCCAATACTACTAACCTAAAAAGCTCACTATGGCTGTCTGCAACCAAGATACATTCCATTGGCCTTTTATGAAATTGCCTGTTTGTGGGCAAAGATCCAAACAAGAAGAAAGCACCCTTTGTTGAATTACAATCAACATCACTGAGTAGAAATCACAAGGGAGCGAGCTCAAGTTTCCCATCCTGTCCCCCACGCCCAGGCCTTGTTGTTTCCAGACAGCTGCATTATTTGGCAACCTCGAGGAAGTCACTTAGAAACTCTGGCTGCTTCCCTAGCTGCGAGAGCCTTGTCTGTGCTTTAGTCTCTGGATGACAAGTAAGGCGTGGCCAAATAGGTACCGAGTACATACCCACTGCACACAGACCTGTCTGTCCCTGCGAATGGTGAGGCTGTTGTTGTTAATTCACTGAACCCTCTGAAATAACAACAATCAGGTGACCCCTATATTCTAGTCTAGCTGTGTCACCTATCCTGGCCTCTTTCTCTTTGAAGGAAAAATTCAAACACAGGAACCAGGTTCAGATTTAGAGGGGATTAACATTTTTGAAAACATTATTCCACACACAATTTTGACCAAACACTCATGATATCTCCTTGCAATAGCAATGCTGTACCATCCAACAGGTAGACCAATCAGAGGGCTAATAGCATAGATAAGGAATCCAAAGATGGTGACGAGAAATGTGTTTGGGAAGATGATCCAATATCGCCAAAATGCATCCCAACTGCTTTCATAAAAAGGGTCTGAATGTCACTGGCCCTCCCTGCAAGTCATTTTCCAGGACAGCCAACGAACAGGCCCTCTTCTCCCCACAGGAGGACCGCAGTCTTCCCCTGAGCACCACCTGAGTACTGCCTTCTCACAAGTCTATGTTCAGGGCAGAGGCAGCTGCACAAAATGTCAAGATGCTAACTGCCACACCGCCCAAACTATCTTCTGTGAGCAAAAAGATGACCCTGCCCTCTGAACAGCGTTTCTGACAGTGGAGACAAATTTCACAGGCCACACATGTCCCTTCTCTCCCTCCCAGACAGCTGAATTCGGGGGGGGGGGTGTCGGTGGTTTGTGGCTGAGCAACACCTGGACTCACCGATCTCAAAGCCATAACCTTTGACTCATCACCAGCATGAACTTGCCAACTGTGCCCTAGAACTTAGAAATCACACATGGAGCCAGTGGACTCAACCTGGGCAAACTAGGAGTACACAGGCCAACCACCCAGTTCAGTCACTGCCAACCTGGTCCACGGAGACTTTCAGAAAACATTCCATTCACTTCTCCTGAAACATTTTGTTCCGTAAGAATCATTCTGAAACATTTTGTTCTTTGAAGCATTATTTGCACACTCCATGTCAGTCCTTAGGATCAAGCTAAATGGTGGACAGTTGCTTTCACGCCCTCCTCTGAGACCTAGGGCAACTCTTTCCAGATCTACAGACAGCCCCACAGAAAAAAACCTCAAACCCCTTCACATCCTGGGGCTGGGAGGCAGACACGCTTTAAAAATGTCTGGGCTAAATACACACGGTAGCTTACTTGTAATCTCAGCATTTGGGAGGCTGGACGCAGGAGGAGTGCATTGATTTCCAGGCCAGCCTGGGCTACAGTATAAAATCTGTCTCAAAACACAATACTGAAAAGGAAACCCAATCTCCAGGACTTCTGTCACTTGGCATATGAAAGAATTCCAAGACTCTGGCGAGGATGCAGAATGTATGCTGGGCTCTCTCAGAGGGGAGTTCAGCAGTGTCTGCTGCTGTCTCAACACACACCAACAAGAACAGGATGGGCTGTTTGCGTGGAGATAAGGATGATAAAATACAACAGGGTATAACTGTGCATTCCAGTTGGTGGTCTGTGGTCCTTCACTGTAAAGGTCCTTGTATGCTCAGTGTAGAATTTCTTGTTTGGAGGCAGGGTCTCCCTATGTAGTTCTGGCTGTCCTGGAACTCCCTATGTAGGCATGTAGGCGAGACTGTCCTGGAACTCCCAGAGATCCTCCTGCCCCTGAGTCCCGAGTGCTGGGATTTTGGCTCAGTGTAGATTTCTTTTAGTTTTTCCTAATTGAATGGGAGTGGGTCCTCCAAGGCTGCCAGTCACTGACAACATTCCAGCTGTGGGCGGGGCAAGCAGAGCTGGCCTGGTCCCCTCCCCAGCCCCACCTCCCTTCCCCACCTTCTGTGAACCCCAAAGGGCAAGAAGCAGGGTCTGTGGAGAGAGGTCTGGTTTGCTCAGGTACTGCCTGTCTGTGCCTGCTAGGCCAGGAATACACTCCAAAGGGCAAGTTATGCAAAGGCCCAGGGTCGGGTTTCCACCCTGCTGGCATCAGAACAGAGGTCCAGCCCTGAGGCCTGGCTACAGGGGGGTTCCCCTTTCCGTGACTTCTGGGGTGAGCCCCAGGAACCTGCCTTTATCAGGTCCAGGGTGGTTCTGGCAACTTAGCCTCGGCCTGGGACAACTGAAAACTGCTTACCCCATCCACACTGGGGGGGTTCCCCTCTGCTCACTCCAACAGGGGAGAAGCACCCAGCCCAAAGGTGAGGGTCTGCCACACTCGGGTGCCCAGGTGACTCCAGCTTAGGGGTGGGGTGGGGCCTGCCTTGCATCCCTTCCCCAGTGGAGGTGCAGACTCGCAAGCCCTGCCTTTACCTGTGTGGTGTGTTCTGAAGCTCAGCAGAGGAGAGGCAAGAGGTGTCTGGAGCCCTGCAGGAATCCGAGGAGGCACTCAGAGGAAGAAGAGCTCTGAGGAGGACCCTGAGGAGGAGGGCACTGGAGGAGGTGGTGGGGATCTCTGCTGAGGAGGAGGAGGGGACATTCTGAGGAGGAGGATCTTCTCTGGGGAGGTGGGGACTCTCTGAGGAGGAGCCATGCTCTGAGGAGGAGGAGGAGGAGGAGGAGGAGTTTGAAGCACTGGGAAGGGAATCTGAAATGAGGAGGAGGAGCTCCGAGGAAGAGGCCACAGCTCTGACAGGGCTGAGATCAGAGCCTTGCAATCTCTCTGAGCATCCAGAGCCCAGATGGTTCTTGGGACACTGAAGACAGAGGGAACTGCAGGGAGAGTTTAGAAAGCAGTATAGAGAAGCATTCGTCCTTTACACACAAGGGGAACCGTCATGAGATTAATTAACTGTTAATTTCCCATCAGAGACTATGGAGGCCAGAAGATACAGGGTAACACATGCAAATCCTGAAGAATGTCATCCAAAGTTTGTCAAGAAAAATTGTCCTTCAGGAATTAAGTAGAAAGCAGGATGTTTCCAGATGAAAGCTGAAGGGACTCATTATCAGTGGTGAAAGGATTCAGGTATTATGCTGGCCTGCCCCTGTCACCTGGCAGAATGCTTTCAGGCAGTGCTCTGGGCAGCCCAGGGTTCCATGAGTACTAGTTGAAGTGTCAAAACCCCAGATCAGCCCTTCCCCTGCCTTAGCTCCTCAAGACTATGTTGTATGCAACAGGCCTAGGGCCAAAATTAATCACAAAGGAACTCCAAACCCCCACAGCCTCCTAGATACTTGGATCCTGGGGACTGTTTGACTGCAAAAGAAACTCCCCTATAGTCTCCAGGAAATTCAGTTATGAAAATTTTGGTACAATAGACCACCTGGAAGCCATAGAAACCAGAGAATGTACCCTCCCAGCAGCAGTCTACAAGAAAAATGGGTACACCGGTGTTACATGCCATAAAACATGACTTAGAAAAAATTTTTTCAATATTCCCCAAATATCAACCAATCAGAAGCCAACCTGTACCAATGATGTAATCTTGTAGCTTTTGTCTTTAAAACCTAGCAGTAGACAGGAAACTTCACCCCCTCTGTGAAGGGGCTGCTGTGTCAACTTGCTAGACCGGGTCCCTCCCGTGGACGATTAATAAACCTTGTGCATTTGCATTGGTGGTCTCTTCCGGGATCCTTGTGACTTGGATGCAGGTGTAAAGGACCCTTTAAAAGACAGACCCCGCCCACTCACGCTCTCTTGATCTTTGCTCTCTCCTCTTGCTTCCTCTCTTACCCTTCATCCCCTCTCTCTTCCCCTCTTCCTCTTCATCTCTCTCTCTCTCTTGCTCTTCCTTCTCTCCCTTGCTCTGCCCCCTGCCCTGTAATAAATGCCATGGTTAATGTATCTCCTGGTTTGTGTTCGTGTTCTATAGCATGCATCTTCTAACCTAAACAAAAGCATGACACGTGGACTTGCTTTAGAAGGCATGGCAGAGGGAGTTCTCCAGGCTGAGATGAAATAATGGACCTGTTAAAGCCACAGAAGGAAGGAGCAGAGGGCAGGGCGACAACACCATGAATAGAAATGTTAGTGTGCTCCAGGGTTGTAATTCCTTCCTGTTTTGCCTGTATGGCTACAGACACCAATGCATAAAACAATGATTGCCAGTCTGTGTTCACAAGTATGACACGTGTAAATACATGATCTGCGGCAATGGTAGTATAGGCAGAGGGGCAGAGATGAAATGCACAGAGTCTGCATACTACAGAAAGTAAATTGATATTCAGATAAAGTTTCTGTGAGTTTAGGTGTTGACTTACACCCGGAAGCTCACTGGCCAGCGATCCTGGAGTGTGAATCGTGGCAGAAGCAGCAGACAAGACCTTGCTTCCGCAATGTGGAAGATGAGAACCAAATCCCAGAAGTTATCCTCAGAGCCTCCCAGCCTGTCTCTAAGGCCCTGTAAGGTGTATACCATGGGTGCCCAACCAGCCCTGTTTCTATGTCCAGTGCTTCCTAAAATCCCCTGTGGTCACTGTGGTTGGCCATTTCTCCTTCCCCAGCACACTCGGTGGCTGCAGTGCTCCTGAACCAGGCTGGGCCCGTCAGCATGGCGGAAATCCCAGGTGTGCTGGTCTCGATCTTCCTGTCCTTGTGTGCTAGTGTCATGATGTAATAGTAGAGGGCCCATGCCTACTTTGGGGATGAGGAATCCCTGAACTTCAATGTCCCGGGATGTGATGCATGGCAAGTTCAGTGGGGCGATATCTGCAAAGCGCTGCACCTCATGAATGACAGCGTTGGTGTAGGGCATGCGGGCCTGGTCTGCCATCTCTGGGCTTCTCCCTGGCCCTACGATGTCATCGATCTCCTGTTGGACTCGGCCTGCAAGGCACAGCATCCCCTCAGTGAAGCGTTCCTGTAGGGCTTCCCTCTATTCCGTCCTTACAATCACGTTAAGGGCTGAGGTCATGTGAGAGAGATGCCCGTGAGTGTTGCTGGAGTCTGGGTTAGGTTAGTGCTGGGAGCCACAAGTGTCTGGAGTCAGCTTGGAGAGAACCCCCAACTCCCTGCTACTCCCCTCCAGCCAGTTCCAGTGGTTTATACAATCCCTAAAACCTTTTTCTTTGAATTTGGTGGTTCCACCCAGCTTTTATTTAGACAACGGACCACAATCCCAGACCTTGAGACTTCCCAGATCTGACACATCAAATGTAGCTCATGGCTGCCTACCTGTGATGCTCCTGGAACTGGCTTAGCATGGCTTCGGGCTGCAGAGTCCTCATTGGTGATTGACGATTAGTACATACAGGTTGCTTTTTTTCCTTTTCTCTTTAACAAAAATTCGTTAGGTGTGGTTTGTTTGAGTTTTTGCTTAGTATTTAAAGTTTGGACAACATTGTAACAAGTCACCTAGGAGCTTCAGAGTCCTTAGACTTGCTTTGGTGGTACGATTTTCCCACCTGCTGGCCAAACTTCATCATTGCAACTTAAAGTTAAGACCATAAGAGGCTTGGAAGACTTTCTGAGGATTTAATTTGAGGTAACTTACTGGATATTTTTGCAAGTTAAGCTAGTAAATAAATTAATTAAAATACATTTCTTTTACTATTTGTTAACTTCTGCTACAACAATGGTGGAAAATATTACCATCCAGAAATTTAAAAATCTTTTTGCTTCTACTATAGATGGAATTTTAAAAGATGTACATGATGTACCTGGGACCCTATACAATCTTATTTGCTGTTAGTTTGGTAAGTCGTATCATATCCTTAAAGAAATGGTTTTATAATAGAGCTAAAAATGGGGAACTTGTAGAAATGATACAGACTTTACAGACTGACAATCATAAGTTGACAAAAAGAATTCACAAAACGGAACATGGTAATTAACTCTTAGCAGAAAAAATTCATTCCATGTCTAAGAGTATGGATAAGCTTGCAGATAGAACACTATTTTTAGACGGTGATCTGCATGCCATTCAAAGAGTCTCTAAGGATGAGAATATTAAAGCACATGTAAATGACAAGAAAATAAAACAAAGTTGTTGGAAGTTTCTACTGTTCAGGTAGTTCAAACGCTCTGAGAAACAATGGTGAATTGATTAAGGGTCATGGAATATCTTCTTAAAACTGATACACCATGAACTAAGGTACAAACGAAAACGAATAAAAAAGATTTAACATCGCCAGTAACTTTCAGAGTCAGAGATGAGTGTATCATCATCACCTGCTATGGTCTATCCTGTTACTATTACTCAAATTCAGCCAATGATGAACACCCTGAGGTTTTATAGAATATAAATCTGAACCTACGGTTATGAAAGATTTAAAAGATAACGAAGAAGTAGTAGTTTCTTATGGCGTGTATTCACCACATGTGAGGCAGTTAGTAAAGGCATGGGCTACAAGACATAGAATAACTCCAAATGACTGGCTTCAATTAATCTCAGCTGTTCTAGAACTTGGTTCATAGCTGCAGTAGAAGTCATATTGTAGAGAGGAGGCCCAAGCCCTTGAACATCAAGGCAGAATTATGAGGCTTCCCAAGATTAAATTCATGGTGAGGGTAATTATGTAGATGCAAATGCTCAAACTACATACAACTGACACATCTTGTCCTCATGCCACACAGCAGCCTTGAATGCTTGGGACAAGATTCCAGAACCAGGGAAAAGTGTTGAGTCATATATTAAGGTTATACAAGGCCCACAAGAACCTTTTAGTGACCTTTTGCACAGATTGACGAAAGCAGTACAAATAGGGCTAGCAGACTCAGAAGCTAGATGAGTACTCATTGAATCTCTACCTTTAGAAAATGCTGATATGGAATGCAAAAGGGTGATTGGGCCCTTAAAGGTCTGATCAGCACCAATGAATGGGTGATCATGCACACAGCCAATGTTGAGTCTTTTGACTATAACATAGAGGCTGGGGTAGGATAAGCCACCTCCAAAGTATGAGGAGACATCAAAATACCAAACTCTTTAATTTTGTTAGAATAGGCCATTTGAAAAAAATTGTAGACAAGGCATCCCTAGAAATAATGCCCCAACCTTCTGGATTATGTAGAAGATGTGGCAAATGCTGTTGAGGATTTGTGTAAAGGGAACTCTTATCCATTGTTCATAAGGGGTGGAGTGGGAGGGTAAACTGGTGTAGCCACTATGGAAGTGCCTCCAAATCTATAAGTGGAGTGCCACCTGATAGAGCTCTACCATTCCTGGGCTTGTGTCCAAAGAACACAGCAGCCCTACGTGCTTTTCCTTGGTCATTAAGGCTCTGGGCACAAAAACAAGTTAACAGAATATGTCCAGACATTTATCAACTGATAAATGGAATGTAGTGTCTTTGTACAATAAAATTATATTTAGCCATAAAGATAGAAAATATAACCCGAGCCAGGCATTGGTGGCCCATGTCTTTAATCCCAGCTCCCAGGAACCAGAGGCAGGCGGATCTCTGTGAGTTTGAGGCCAGCCTGGTCTACAAAGCGAGTTCCAGGACAGCATCCAAAACAATACAGAGAAACCGTGTCTCAAAAAAACAAACAAACAAA